CTGAACTGAACTGAAATCTGTGAGCGTATCAGCAAAGATAGTTTCTATTTTTAAACCCAATAAAAAAAAAAAAGTTTGAATAAACCTGAGCAGATTTATTTACCAGCATGTTGTCAAAGAAGCTGCAGCATTGACCTTCACCTCTCTCTGTAACGTCATTGTGCACTACTGTGTGTGTGTGTGTGTGTGTGTGTGTGTTAGTGTGTGTGTGTGTGAAGGGCGGGATTCCTCTTTGTGCAGTGCAGGATATCCCTTCACCCCTCGTCAGTCGGCTGTCTATTGTTAAGAGAAAGCCCTGGGTTTGTGCAGGGATCTCTGTAAACTGCACCAGTAACTACAATCATAAATGCACTTCATCTTAAATTTCAGCTCCTTCAACAATAACATTGATTACAAGCCAAATAAATGGCAATACTTAGCGGTTTGGCCAGGGGAACATATTAGTTTGACTTATCAAGGATTGCACCCAGAAAGACATCATAAACTGTTGTGATTGATTGAGACACTTACCCTCACCTGAGCGTGCGCCCATCGCACCACTAGCTTCTTAGATAAAGCTAGCTTCCCATTTAAACGCTGAATCGCCCTCTCTGCCTCCTGTAGACAACAATGGGAGGGTGGAAAGAGGGAATGACAAACTGTTCAAAATCCCCATAAAAAGAAAAAGAAAATCAGTGTGGAATAACATCCAAGTCATTAAATCTTTAGATAAATGATCGGAGATGACAAAGAGCCGTTCTGCTTACAGAGGGCCAAAGCTAAACGGAGCAGAGCCAAATCTACTTTAGTCTCATCAAATGTGAGAGCGGCTTTTATGTAAAACTATATTCCTGAAGTTTTTTATCGGACCGTGTCTGCATGCGAGTAAGTCCGAGTGCTTAAGATAAACAGCCACTTCCTCTGTATAATCCTGTTGGGAGGGCTTCATATCCCACTGATAGACACTAGCTGTGAAACGAGATGCTTATCATGATCCCCAGGCACACTCCAAAACAAATACTGCCCCACAAACCTGTGATGCCGAGCGCACTCCTTTTAAGTCCCTTCATGTCATTTTTTAATAGAAACAGGGTCCATTTCCGTCAAAATAAACAAAGAGTTCCTGTTGGCTCATGAATGTGTCTAAAACTTAGGTTGGGAAGATTTCACCTTTAGTTTTAAACCAAATAGATGGACCGACTCTGAAAAAATACACAGACTGCATCTGTGAGAGTCTAAAACAGTTTTGCTTTTTCTGCTACTTGACCATGGGCATAAATAACAAACAAACCCGAATGATCTGTGTAAGATATTTATGGTAAATGTGATAAAAAGAAAAAAAGATGCATGTGTGGTTTTTCTACCTCTCTGGTGCTGAAATTGACAAAGCAGTAGCCGCGTGGCTGCCCCTCCAAAGGCCCAGACTTATGAAACAGGAAGTCGAACTGTTTAACTTTGCCAAACTTTTCCAAAAGCTTTACCAGATGATACCTGACAGGAGAAAAAGACAAAAAAAGACATTAAAGAGAAGAAAAAATTTAGAAAATAAAGAAAAAACTCCTTTTTTAAAAGTGTTGAATTGATTCATGTATAATGATTTACTTAGAGGAAACACTCTGAGCAAGAAATTTAGTATAATTTTATTAGAAAAAACAGCCAAACAACCCTAAAAGAATTGCAGCATGAGGTCGATTTGCCACCCCTTGGTTTGTGAATCTGTCAGCTTGGGTTAATGAGAATGACAGCTTTCTCTCCTTGACACCTTTTTAGCAGCAGGCCAGCTGGTGTAGCCGGCCACTAACAGTAAATCTCTTATTGAGACAATGCTGAGGATACAGTAGCAGGACAATGAGGGAATAAAACAGAGGAAGCCTCAAATCCCCTCTGAACGCTGGAGTCCGGCACAAACAACCTCCGATGACGGCGTAGAAGCTGCAGGGCACCATTGGACTGAGGATGATGACGAATGCCTGTGTGTGACTGAGGCCATTAGCAGTCATGGGAAGAAATTTAAGTTCAGGGTCACTCAGAGAAGGCATTTATGTATTCTCAAAATAGCGAACTAGTGAGCTCCAATGAAACATGAGGACATTTATTTCTGATTATATAACAAATAAAGTCAACATTTAGATTTTAATTTCTCACTTCTCACAGTGGCATATGGGGTTAATTTTATTCCATTTTTTTTTTCTGCAAGAAAATAACTTGTTTTGTAAATAGAAAAAAAAAGCAATCCAGAAATTAAGCTTTGGGAATAAATTTGCCTTTTTCTCAGATTTTATCTAGGAAATTTGTTATTATTTTATATATTCATTTTTTTTTTTCTTTTTCAAATAATATTTTTTAAACTTTACTTTATATTTCTCTTTTTCAGATTTAGTTATCTTTATCTTTACAGGCGGCTTTCCTCTGGTGTGAGGAGCAAAGATGCATTTCTATTGATCTGCATGGATGTTAGCTACAACCATTTTATTGGTCAATAGGCTTGTAAAGAATGAGAGTTTGTATTGGGTTTAAAGTTGAGAATGTGATTTGATAAACACGTTTTGAAAAGAAGGAAATCGTAAAACAATCTGAAAGAGAGAAATTTGAAAAAAATTCAAAAAATATAATGTTTAATGTTTATTATAAAGTTTTTCAATGTTTTATTTCTGGATCATATTCCCTAGCCTTTTATAAAACGATGTTCTTTGCTTACAACAATAATGGAACAAAATTCACTCCATATTGATATGAATAAGTTGAATGGAGTAACTACAATTTTAACTTGATATTTACAGTACATATATTGGTTAAAAATACAGCTTTTTTATCCAGAGGGTTATTAAATCAGCCAAACAAGTTTAATGTTTAAGGTTAGTTAGGACTAAATTAGGGCTGAATCGGATTAATCTTGAATAATTGATTTTTGAAATAATCATCAACTAATTTAGTAATCGATTAATCGTCAGCCTTTAGCTAACAGACAAACCCATTCAGAGAAGTAATTATATCAAAATTGTAAAAAAAAAAAAAAAAAATATATATATATATATATATATATATATATATCTTGCATTTAAGATAAACAAAAAACTTTTGTCTCCCAATATGCTCTATCCAGAACTCCTCAAGTCGACAAGCTTTAGTTTTACCTGGTTTCATTTCTTAAAACGTCTTCTTTAAGGAACCTTTGGCTATCTGATTATTAATCGATTAAACCAGAAAAATAATCGACAGATTAATCGGTTTGCAAAATAATCATTAGTTGCAGCACTAGCTTAAATGATCGTTTTTATATTGACATGGTGTTTGAATGTTTCCTCATTTTGTTAGGTAAAAATGACTTTCAAGATGTAGGATTGGTTAAACACTTAAGGCCAATTTATGCTTCTGACGCGTAGCCTCTGCAACCATCAAATCTGTCTCTGTGCGCGACCACACCCCCCCACGCAACCGTCGTCGCGCACCTCAGAAAAATCCTGACTACACACTGAAGAGTCACAAACCCGCGCAGACCTCAAGTGGAAGTGCGCAGACAAAAAGCAGCTGTGATTGGTCCTTGGTATGCTTTTTCAGCAGTCTGCGTGGTTGTCCTTCTCGATTCGGTGCTGGGGCGCACCATATTTATAAACCAAGGAACAACTACAATGGATAACTATGACGAAAGGTTAATCAAGGAAGTTTGGAACTACAAGCCGTTGAAGTTCTCGCTTGTTCCAGAATAGACTCCCCCTTGCGCTTTGGTGGGAAACGGCTGTGCGTCCCTAGAAATATCAGACCGACGGTGCAGAAGCATACCAGCAAAACTGGTTCGCGACCAGACCCAAGTGACATCTGATGTGAACGGTTGCAGAAGTCTAATCTGCCCTTTAGACAGACAGAAGTCTGGCTTTTAGAATAAAATCTTCTTATTAGAAGTGGCCTTTGAGTCCATGTTTGTGCAGGACTCCTTGAAAGCAACACTGTGTAACTTTAGCCACTAGGGGCACTAGACCAGTAACTTCCAGTTTTAGCTCTGCTGAAAGCACCTGGCAAAACAAATATAAAAATCAGTCCCTCACTGTTCTGGAATCTGATAGCAGATCAATCTGGATCAGATAGAGAAGTCATGGAGTTACTTGTAAAGACAAGGCTGCATTCGCTCCTTTAAATTAAATCCTAAATCAGAGAACCAAAATATGTCTGATCAAGTGTCATATCCGTTTAGTTGTGTAACAACTTTAAACTGAGTCAGCGCTCGTGTTAAAGATGCACTTTGGGTCACATGACTCATTTGGTGACGGATCTGACCCTTTCGAGTTACAAAGAGGAGTTTTTGAGAAGGTCAGCCTGCATTGAGCATCTATACAAAAGGGATTTGTATTGACCTGAAAAATCATTTAATATATTAATGAATATATTAATAAACTTACAGTTTTGCTTTAGATAGACTGTTTCAATATATAGTCAGGATGTTCACCAGATTTTTTGCATTTGTTCTGGGATTAATACGCATTTCTCACTACAATATATTCATATCTGGGACACAGAACCCTCTTACTGAACAGGAAGCAGCAGGTTGCTTATTAGAGGTTCTGAAGGACTTCAAAAAATGACCCATTTTATCTTGTATGATACTTTAAAATAGACACCCCATTTTCACTTTTCTGATGTGTTTTCACTATGCTTCCACATCTCCTTTCGATCTTGAACATCTTGGTTAGTAGGTCATCTGGTCACCAACTGCAATAAGCCTCCATCCAACAGCTGGATCATATTAACGGTGTGCAAAGCATGTAGTCAAAGTCAGCAAATACTATATTTAAGCCATTCCTTAGTAATATTCACATTTCACCCATAATTATCAATATGGGAATATTTTTGGGATATCTAATTCATCTCTGTTCATGCTACAGGAGTTGTTAGGGCTGTGAATATTCGAAATATGTCTCTCTCTTGTTGAAACAAGTTATGAGAGTGATATTTATTTCCCCACTTCCAAAAAGAACTGGAAATAAAAGTTAAAGGTGACAGCTACAAGTTTAACTCCTGCTCAAAGGCTTGATTGATTGATTGATTTTTGGCTTAAATCTTAGAAATGAAATGCCAAGAGGAAGCCATTTCTCAGCTCCAGCAAAGAGGAACCAATATCTGGAAAAGCCTAAGCTCCGTGTCACATGACTTCCACCTACTATTCCTATTGGTACAGAATCCATTCCAGACTGTGTTGGCATCGTATCATTTATAAAACAATTACTTGTATACCATCTATATTTTTTCTGTTAAATATATCCTCCACCACTATAGATGTTACATTGATGTATGATTTTTTTATAATAAATTATTTTTTTTATTGTAAAGTTGTAGCTATGACCTTTAATAAAAGAACAAAAAGAGATCTGATCACATAAAACAAAAGCTTTCTGAATGGTCAATATATAGCAGTCCTTGATCCTGTCTGAACAAAGCTGAAGCTTATCCTTACTTTGGATTAAGGGTAATTAAATTATACAGAGCAAAAGGAAAGAAATAATAAACTCAAGAAGCAGCAAAAAACCGAATGATATCCTGCAAAATATAAACCTTTAGAAGTAGGGCTGGGTAAAAAAAATCGATTTAATCGATTTTGAATTGATTCCTTTACGTTTTTGCAAAATCGATGTCTAGGGAATGAGATCGATTAGTTTTATAGTGACCCGCGTGACGTTCAAATAAGCAGGAAAGATGCACTCAAGATTACTTCAAGCCAGACAGCTGCACATATAACCAATAGGTTGATTGAAGACATTAACAAATGGAGGCTGACCAGCAAACACCCTCTAGTTGTTACAGACAAGCTGCAAATACGGTTTGTGCAGTGAACATAATACAGCTCATGCATGTCTGCTGTGTCCCCACTGTGTCACGTCTGCTCGCACGAGTGAGGCTTCGCTTTTTCACTTTTCAAGTTAGCACTTCTGAGACAGTTTTGTTCACATCTCAAGTTTAAACCGTCCGATTTACATATTTGCGCTTTGTGCTTGATATGACAGGAAAAAATAAAATACATGAATATTTTAAAACACAGTTGAACCACTTTCATTATTGTATAAACAGACCGAATCGAAATTAATCGATTTAGAATTGTATGAATCAAAATCTAAATGATTCAGGGCTTTGGCGAAAATACCTAGCCCTATTTAGAAGACTATTAAAAGGTATAGAGGATGATCTTTTATTTCCGGATGGATCATCTAAATAAGTGGTCCTCCTAAGTGGCAGTCCTGTTAACTATCTTTTTCATTTGCGCCCTTTCAGCAGCATATCTTTGGTGAGCTACGGTTTCAGACAGTCATTGAAGCTCACCTTTCTCACCGCCGAGGGTCATAAGAGAAACAGTGTCTATGAAAAGTATTAGAAGAAAAGAAAGGCCTCAGAACAAGGCAGATATATTCCAGAATTCTTTGGGCGGAGAGCTCTCCTTGCAAAGCATTATGGGATTTGCTGTCACAGCGGCCTGCTGCCGCCATAGGCTGCCGCTACCCGCCAGC